CGAAACGTCAGCAATTGTGTTCTAATAAATTCTATATTAACAACCTCGTGTCTGCTTATTGATGAAAAACATTGAACTATAGAATTTGCCTGTAATACAACCAAAGGCGAATTGAAGAAAACAATTGGACAGATTCATGTTCAAAATAAAGTAGTCAAAGCCACCTTTGACTCCTTTATTTTGAACATGAATCTGTCCAATTGTTTTCTGCCTCTGATCTCTGAGAACGGTAATGTTTAAGCGATTTTGATGGATTTAGATTGTGACCCGTCCGTGTATCGAGAGAATCGCTCGTATGGCATTCGAATACGCGTCATTGAATAACCGCAAAAAAGTAACTGTAATTCACAAGGCAAATATCCAGAAACTTGGAGATGGGTTGTTCCTAGAGGTTAGTCGTTAAAAGAATTGCAACAATTAGACAAACAAACAGAGCTCGTTAGACCAAGACGGGTGTGAAAGTATAGAGCACAGTGGAGCAGGTGCACAATTGTCTCGAGATCTCGAGATCTCAGGAGGGAGAGCAGTAATTTCAAGGATATCAGTGACGTAAAGAAAGCGTTTCTTTTCAGGTTGTGGGCCAAATTGCCAAGAAAGATTATTCTGATATCCAGTTTGAATCGATGATTGTTGATAACGCTTGCATGCAACTGGTATGTTCGGAGGACGTTTTTCATATGTAACAAACACGATATATAGGAAAGTCCTAATCATTTTGGTGAATATATGGTAATATCTAGTTCTGCATAAATAATGACACCTTCCTATTTTGTTTGGGCTATACTAACTTCACTTGTAAAGCAGGTGAAACCAAGACAGATCTATTTAATTTTCAAAAACTACTTGTTGAAAGGCATTGAGCCAACCATCTAAAGTCAATGCAAAGATATGTCGCAACTGAGCATATGGTTTTTTGGACAGGTGTCTCGACCTGAACAGTTCGATGTGATGCTAATGCCGAACCTCTATGGTAACATTATCTCTAACATTGCGTGTGGGCTGGTTGGAGGACCAGGCCTCGTCTCTGGAATGAACATAGGCGAGAAATACGCTGTCTTTGAAACGGTATGTTTTTATCCTCTTCTCATACCAACATTTTTTCAGTGGTATGAAACAGTTGTAACCAAAGATGGTCATCATTGTCCTTGCCGGTGTAAAATTCCCATGAGATTTTAGTAATCTGTCTGTACTGTCCCTTACCAATTTAGACATGTCGTGATTATCTCGGTACACATCGGTAGACAGCCGCGAGCCATTATATGCGCCAAATATGCAGTCACTCACCTTTAACGATGCTCGGTGAAGTCGAATTCATGGCGCATCCTCAGGGATTGATCAGCGTCGAGAGCTTTATCCTTTTTATTAACTGTGGTTTACCGGACATCCACATTGCTCTAAGCATTGCAAATCCTTTACAACTGACGTTGTATCTATTCCAGCATTTTTTATATCCGCCCACTACATACGTTAACCATAATTCATCACAGCTATTGGGATTAAATTAACAATCAATTACAAGTTAAGTCACCAGTCACTAAACTCGCTTGAAAATAGATTTTCGCGAGGTACAAAGTGTTGAGAATAGGTTTCCAGTTCGACCTCCGCTTTATTGATCTGCTTCCAATCAGCTATCGAAGGAATACAAAAAATGAGAAAAAATTGTTGTGAGGCAAAACAAATCACTGAAAAGCTAATGCATTGTATACAATCGTATCGTCCGCTCTGGGCAACTAAACGTGATAGTATAGAATGCGCGGTCATGTCATCTGTTGAGCGCTAGGATTACCCCGCTTCACAAGTGTGAAGCAACAACGTTCTTGATGTGCAGGGTGTTAGAACGTTTCCAGTTTTGATCTACCAGATTTACTAACTAAACTGAATATGTATAGTTGCAAACAAAAGAGGTTTTCGAGCAGTTCAAACAGGTCTTTATTATTCAAGGTGAGAAACATAATAATTCCCATGACCGACTTTCTGTTAACCTCGGCATTAATTGATAATTCAATGTTTTTCATCAATAAGCAGACACGAGGTTGTTAATATAGAATTTATTAGAACACAATTGCTGACGTTTCGGCGGTTTCGCCTTCTTCAGAGCCTGGAAAGGTCAAATTGAGATGTGATCTACTCAGCCAAACACTTTCATAACCCTAGCAGATAAAACTTGATAAATCGATTTTCATTCGCATAAGAAACAGCTTCATTCAAACACCTACCGTTTATTTGTTGTAAGTATTTAAGTTAGTTGGTGGATAGCCGCCGCACAGAGTAATACATGGTCGATAACTGGGTCCATGTCAGATCATTGGATCAGCCTGAGGTATGGCGCTAGGTCACGCGTGATGACAAGACACTCCTCCTTGCGGTTCATTTTTGAATTTTTGGCATTGATCCAAAACGCTTCAAGAGTTTTACGCGCTGATGTTTTCGATTCCTGCGTAAGGATAGTGACTCCTACCTCAAAATCTTCTCCGTTGTGTTCTTGCATCCTATGCGCGCCTAGTGGAGTATTATGTTTTAGTTTAGATTTACCGACTAGGTGTTCTTTTATGCGGACGCAGAGCGGTCTACCCGTTTCGCCAACATATTCGTGCCCGCACGCTTTACAAGAGATCAGATAGACTGTACCCGAACTCATGCAATCACCGTTTCTACCATTTGGGCAAATTATGCAGTTTTTTGTTGTACATAGACGGTCGTACAGGCGGTTGCGAACTAGCTGGCGTCTTAGAGTGTCCGGTGGTATTTCTATCACTCTTACGGAATTCTCTAGACCGGCCCTTATTAAGCAGCGTTTTATAGCTGCACTNCTAGGTCACGCGTGATGACAAGACACTCCTCCTTGCGGTTCATTTTTGAATTTTTGGCATTGATCCAAAACGCTTCAAGAGTTTTACGCGCTGATGTTTTCGATTCCTGCGTAAGGATAGTGACTCCTACCTCAAAATCTTCTCCGTTGTGTTCTTGCATCCTATGCGCGCCTAGTGGAGTATTATGTTTTAGTTTAGATTTACCGACTAGGTGTTCTTTTATGCGGACGCAGAGCGGTCTACCCGTTTCGCCAACATATTCGTGCCCGCACGCTTTACAAGAGATCAGATAGACTGTACCCGAACTCATGCAATCACCGTCTCTACCATTTGGGCAAATTATGCAGTTTTTTGTTGTACATAGACGGTCGTACAGGCGGTTGCGAACTAGCTGGCGTCTTAGAGTGTCCGGTGGTATTTCTATCACTCTTACGGAATTCTCTAGACCGGTCCTTGTTAAGCAGCGTTTTATAGCCGCACTTATTTCGTTTGAAATAAAGGGCAACAGAAACGGAGCCTTGTTTTCACTAGAATCATCGCTCTGGGGCGTGGGATTTCCTCGATGCCTATCCTGAGAAGCTACAATTTCGTAACCATTTGAGATGGCTATTTGTCGCGCCAGTTTCGAGGATTCTTCCCTCTGCTCTCTACCTGTGCACACGCTGGCGGCGGTTCGAAACATATTTCTTATAAGCGCTCTTTTAGTGTGTGAGGGGTGAGAGGAGCGGTAGTGAACCACTATATTCTTACTGCTCGGCTTTCGATACCATTTTGTGTTGTAGCCGTTCTCGGTAGAAACATAATAATATATTTCCGTCAGTGAGATACACCTTTATTTCTTTCGGTGACCCAGAATTCTGAGGTTCTAGGAAGAGCCCCAAAATTTTCCTTGGAGTTACTTGCTGAGGTTGTCGGAAAAATTATGAACTGTTGGCGAAAAGTCTATCTATTGAGTGTGCTCGTTCAATGTTTACAGTGCAAATCTCGTGGTTTTCTCGACAATGCTCTTTTTGTGACCATCCCAAAAAAAAATTAAGAAAGTTATGGCCGAGTAACACAGCTATGGACCACTGCATGCTGTTGCTCTTCTTGAGCACTCTCGTGAACGTGTTGAATCAGTCGACCGTGTTCATCGATGTTGTCAGTGGCAGTGTCATACGAAAATCTGTTTGAACATATGAACTAATTCTAGTTTACGATGCCCTTGGGTTACTGTTTCTTGTGCTTTCTGGTTTTCTTTTCTTCTTCTTTCGAAAAAAGCCGATGTTCCTAGTCTATGTGGAACTATGTGAATACAGCGACAGCAGCTAGCTGAATATTTCGATCTACTATGATGCTGCTCATCTCATTCTGGTGCTTTACTAGAGAATCGCATGTCCTGTGGTGAGAAGAGGGCTGGTGGATTTTGGGTTACAACCATGCGTGGTCTTGGTCATCATAACAAAGTCACACAGCAGCGCACTACATTCATTCACTTTCAGCTTATAGATCTTAATTTTGCGTTTTTCAGACGTTTTCCTCGACCAACTTCTGGCAACAAAGTCGCCAATGATGAATTTTTAGATAGAATGTGTAACCTCCTCTGCAGAACTTCAAATTCACAGGATATGCGTTGAACTCTTCTTCTATATGCTATCGTATCTCATGGATGACAAATATTGTCAAATCCGACCGTAGTCCATCTTTTCAAGGGTAAACATTCGATTCGGGTAGTTGCTAAAAGGAATCGATTTTCGTGGCCGACTTTCTATTGATGAAGACACCAACGCCTCCAGCTTCTCCGGTACCGTAAATAGCGTTGAATGACCAGTGGTTTCTTCTCGACTAATCCAATGACGTCGTATTGTAATATGCACACCGAAAGTTCAATTAATGGCTAACATTGGCAAAGGTACCAGTTGGTGTATCCGTATAAAATAACATCTACACAAGTATTCGAAATCACGGTAGAACATCGCATGACTGTGCTTTCGATACGAATTTTATTAAGGATGCTGAGATATGCCAGAACTCACAGCCTCAGATGTGCTTGGAAACCTACTTGAAGTTGTGGGTTTTGTTCATATCTGAGCATCCTTAATGCCAATTTAGCTCACATCTCAGCCTCCTTGTGGTAATAGTTCATGTTGTACTTCACGACGAAAAAGGACTAGGCAGCAAATAAAAGTGATAACTTCGAAGCACATTGAGAATTTTGAAGTGCACGTAACAACCCTCGCTCACAAATGTTTACAAGCAATTCACAACGTTCACTTTTTATTTACTGCCTTTTACAAGTTTTAACGACAGGGTATTATTTGTGAAGCAACCACAATGATGCTGAGATATTTGCAAAACTCCGGACCGCAGGTGTCTTCAGTAGGGAACGAACGCGCTATTGTCCTTTCGGACGAGTAACATGTTCACCACCACACCATCCGTGTCCTTCATTCTGATTGTTTGCAAGAAATTTGAGGCTATTTTCATCGGTTTCAAAAGGAAATCTATGAGATGAAAACTTTACGACCAACAGAAGCGCCTGTTCGATGCGTCAGATTGATGTGGTCGACTGAAGCAGGTGTTCCCTATCCTATATGAACACTACGTCATGACTACACTTCACCTGCTAAATGCTCAGCTAACAAGGTCTTCAACAACGCTGCTTATTGTGGGATAAGAAACTGATGTTGGAGATCTAATGTACTACTTGAAATGTCTGAGGAACTAAGACCACTCAGCACGATCTCCATAGACTCATAAAAAACCGGAAAATCCCTAGACACTAGATAAGTCCAAACAAACATAGTACAGCGAAATACGTTTAGCTTTTGAGTATTCTTAAGGATGAAAGATCTTGAGCAACGTTGCCGTGGTTAGGAAAAGTCGCTTCTACGATTTACTACGAGAAATACATCATTTTTCGTGGAATAACCTGGACAATTTTTGGCTTGCGCAGGATGTGGAAATGTGCTTCGAGAGCATTTTTCACCTCCTTACTTTCTTTAAAACCGGAAGGAAAAAGATGGAATAATAGTACTAAAATGGTATTGGAGGTTTCTAGGGAACGCGAAACACGGGTACGTCACTCGCTGGCAAAGATCTCGCCAATCCAACAGCATTCATTCGTGCCAGCGTCGATATGCTCAGGTTCGTCCAATTTAAGTATAAACGGAGTAAGAGACAGATCTAGATCTTAAGATTCCATGCGATATAGAGTTAGCGGTCCAAAAGTGCTCGTTAGTTGGTTAAGGAGGCCTTCTTCATAAGACTAATTTTATGTTCTATTTATACAAGATGTAAAAACTACTAAAACCGATGGCCCAGCACATTATCATAACTATTTATACGCTATAAAAATAAAGGACAGACACTGTGAAAATAAAGCACCATTAAAATATCCTGAATCCATCAAGTTCCAAAAATGAGAGCAAGATTCCCGCAATACGTTATTGGGTTTTCGTGAGTTGTGCTATTTCCGTGTATCACACCGCAATCGAAAACGAGGAGTTCACTTCCTTGTTGTTAACTTTATAAGAAAGGAGTCCGAAATTTCCATCCTAAAATCCAACTAGGAGCAGTCTACTGTCAGTAATCAGACACCCTACTAACAAATCAATTGCTTGCCGGCAAATCTCCCTACGATCTAAAAGATCCGTATTCTGTATGTAAAAATGTAAATATAGTCTCTTGTTGTTATGTTTTCGGTCACTTCTTGAAATTCTCGCATATTGCAATACCCGCATGCCCCAGCAAAACTTTTAACCTAAGCCTCTTAATAAGTCGAGCTAGTGTATAGAGAATATTTCTCGTGAAGTACTCTCTATCCTCACTTTAACGTCTGTTCTATAAATGATGTAATCGTGTTCATTGTTCTTCTCGAATGCCTATTATATTATAAAATACTTTACATAACGCCTGCTTGCCTGCGCTACATTCGTAACTCTTAACCATCAGGCATGCTACCGGGCGCGGGCATGGTTCTTTGCTTGGGGTCTAGACCCTGCGACCCGCGCCTTGACCCTACGAGCCACGCCACTTGCTTGGGAAGAGATATTACACACCTCAAACTTAGCTTATACAAGAGATGGTATAGTGAAAGATAGAGAATATTTCTACTGAAATATTCTCTATAGGAACATAAGATATTGAATTTTCTACGCCTCCTTCACCACCTCCTTCATGAGCTGACATATTTACGGCTCGCGTCAACGAGCTGTTTCGCAGGTGAAAATGTTTTTATCTAACAACAAAATCCGAAAGAGCGAGATCTCTTGAACAATGTGGAAGAAAGATCACTCCAATCTTTAGGTACCTGAATTGTCACTATCACGCTAATCTGATCTCTGATGCTCTGTGGAAGGCCTTGGTGGAACAGAGGACACATACTAGAGACGTTGGAGGCACACACAAGGTATTTTTTCCTATATTTCGGCTATACTCATTCAACAATAGATGTCTTGAATTTTGTTTTATTCAGCTGCCGTTTTGTATTTCAGGCTTCCGACGTTGTCAACATGACGCTAGAGAACATTAGCAGTATTATGAGCCGATTATAACTAGGATATTTCCCTACACTTAGGCAAAACATTTAGTGCTCATCCGACACGGTGACACGTCACGTCATACGTCCCGCCATTAATGTACCAGAGATCAGATCAACTTACCACTTAGTACAGCATTGATAACCTCCTCTTTTTATTCTTGGTGGGTCGGTACTATGGTTGCTTCACCTCCGAAATGGACGAGCAGCTCCAAAAAACCGAAATCTGTGGAGCAGTCAAAGTCAAGCATGTATTGTATAACAACTTCGCGTTAGCAAATCTTGAATAGTAGAGCTCATAACCGATACTAGTGAAGGTTTTGCAATCCCAGCACTTCTTTTTATAACCCAGTAATTTGTCTAATGCACCCCATGAACATCAAATGATCTACATTCAGAGATGGGGAAATGGCCACGAATACATTACTGGTTTCCCTATCTAAGCTAGGTGATAATCCTTAGACTGTAATTAGCTCAGGTTGTTTCTGTATGATTTTTCAGTTATCTCCGTGATTTCATTAAAATTCTCGGCAAAAGATGTTCACATAAAGCATAGAAATAATCAGAAATTACCAGTCGAAAAATTAGTACGAGCCCACTTTACCACTTTTCGTAAATCCCTTTAAAGCCTGTTGGTTTGCGTTACTCCTACACGGAATCGAACCATCCCTCTTTTGTGCGAAACTTCTTTTCCCTCGTATGAGAGGAAGCCGGAAAATTCATGGGATCAAGTCGTAAAACCATCATGGACTGGGTTTTATTTACATGTTTAAACACCTTTTGAGAAGGTATCGCAACTGAAAATACCGATGAAGAACAGAACTAGCTTATCCAACACATTCGATTCACGACAGTGCTGAAAAACCGAGAATATGAGAACCAGAACGTTCTTTGAGATCCTTAGTTCGTAGTGATAACACATTTTTCATACGACCCGATATCACATTTGGGCGGGTCCCTGCACTTCTTTCACCACCTAGAAGGGTCTTCAAATTCTTGTGTGGGTAAGGCTTCTGCTTTAACGATTTTGGTCTTCCTCATGGATATGGTAGAACCATTTATGACATCAATTAAAAGGAGGTTTTTGGTCATCTGAATGATTAACAGAAGCAGTGTATTATGTAACACTAATTAGAACACTCGAAAGACCAACTTTCTATGAACCTCGGCATAAATAGTTGATATATTTATTTATGTGATCTTATAAACTGATCTTCTTAAGCTGACGCGAGGTTGGTACAGATCTTCGTTGTCGTTGTCGTTGTTTTTGATGTTATTGATCGATGGCTGACGTTTCGGCGACTTCGCCTTCCTCAGAGCCTGGACGTACTTTATGTTAGAATACTTTTTATTATTCGGTGGAAAAGAAGGTTAAAGTATTAATGAAGATCAAACTTTCAAATAGACGCCATATTGAACAGAAAGGCCACTCACCGTGATGTTACGTGCGGGACTGGCCCACACGTAGTTCACGTGGAGTCGCGAGCAAGACACGCCTCGGGGTCAAAATATCATTTTGAAATAGGGCGCCAGGTCACGCGTGATAGTGAGGCATTCGTCCTTCCGGTTCATCTTTGGATTTTTGAAATTTATCCAAAACGCTTCAAGAGTTTTGCGCGTTGA